GGCAGGGCTGCCGCTTGCCGGCCGCCGCGTCCCCGCCCCCCGCCAGCCCTCTCAGGCCCCGAGCCCAGCGCCGGCAGCGCTTCCCGCCGAGCCCGAGCTCGGGGAGGTGGTGCGCCACAGGAGAGTGACGAAAAAACCGGCGTCTATGCGTATTTCAGTTTACCTCCTGGTTTCTGAGCAGCTTGTCGTTTGCTTTCCTTACAGAGGCTTTTTCCCTCCCCGACGCGACGACGGTTCAGCTCTGAGCCGAAGGCGGGCGTCAGGAGATGACGAACTGATGTCAACCACCTGTTCACAGAAGCCGCCGCCGCTGGAAACAGCCAGAAAGGCAGCCGGCAGCGGCGGGTCCCGACGCTGCACCCTCCGAGCCGGCAGCACGAAGCTCCCCGCGGCGTGTGGGAGAAGGAGACCCGCCAGGGCCGGGTCACCGCCAGGGCCGGGTCACCGCCACGGCCCCCACCTGCGGAACGGGTTTCGGCCCTGCACCCACCTCCCTTCTCCTCAGAGCTCACACAGGGGCAAGCCCTTCCCCTTTCCGCTTTCTGGTTTTAAACTACGTTTTACATCTAGGTATCCAGACGACGTCCGTCTTAGCCGCTCGTGCTGGGCTTTGTGCCTAGCCCCAGTACTAGTTGCCGGAATTTATACGGGGCACGAAGTAGCCGCCTCGCTCCGAACTGATGCGCTCTGTCGCATCCTCGTTTCCCCCTGCGCGTACAAAAAGGTGTTTCGTATGTAGACGCGCACAAGCAGATGAATACAGATTTTGTCTCTTTCATTTTCGCATTTCCTTGCTCCCAAATCCCCAGGATCTTGCGTGAGGCATCACTATACCAGTAGAGTTAAACAGGAAACACTTCAAGGTAGATAAACCCCGAGTACAGAAACACCTGTGAGAGTTCCTGTTCAGCAACCCAAATAAGCTTCATGATATGCAACTAAACTAATGTAAAAAACTGCTGTGTTTTAACGGTAATGCTGTTAACATTTATGGCTGATGATATGCTGGAAGGGTTTCCGTAGGCTCTTAAGAGTCACACATACCGAGTAAATCCCTTCACCTGAGAAATAAGAATAAAATTGATCGCAATTGCCTACAAGAGTACTCCCTTGAAATTTTTTTGAGAAAAATTATTATTAAAAGGTTCCACAAAGGAAGAAGTACCAAGATCACATTGGAGTTTCTATGAGCTCAGTGGGAGTGTAACTTTGCACAGTTCTTGCTTTTGACTTGAAAGCTGTTAATCAGAATTTCAGATTATAAATGTTTCCAGGGGAGCTGTAGAGAGTTTAATAACATTACCCATATTCACATAGGATTCTTTTTCCATGAATCATTCTTTACATATAGAAGGAAAAGCAGATTTAGGCATTGCTAAAGAGATGAACATCTGTAAGAAAAAAGACCTTTAGGAAAAGCTGTTATGCAAAATTAGTTTCTTCTAGCAAATATATTTATATTGCAAGCTAGTTGTGTTTTCAAAAGAGTAAATAAGATTTTGTGATCCAATGACATTTCAGAATATGCCATATTCTGAAAAAACAGAGGTCCCAGTGATGAATAAGAAAAGGCATAGAGACCTGAAACTGTGACTCAGAACAGTCTCTGATCAAGACTTCTGGTCTCTAGCATAACTAAGGATAAGGATTCACAGGGGTTAATTACAGCTTTTCCTTCAAGTGATACACATAAGCAAAGTAACACAGAAGGGAAAAAACCTGTCCTTAGTGATATGGCATATTTTCTGAAGATGTGTATACTACAGAGAGAATAACTGTGAGCACCACATTGTATGAGGAGAGCAGCAGGCCAGTTTTTATGTGAAAATTCTATTAGCAATTACAACTTGAACATATTTGTGACCTGTGTCCTCAGCCAGAGAGCTGACCCATCCTTGTAAGAAAGTTAAAGAAAAGCTGATCTCTGCTGTACTGTTAGGACTTTGCTGACACAGAGCGAGCATGAGTTTCACAGTATTTTTTTAAAAACTATGTTATAGTTGACAAAGTAAAATACCCTTTTCAAAAGTTCAGACGAGATTCTGTTCAATTATTGTTCATTAACTGAGTGGTTAAAACAAGGTGTGTGTTCATTCATTGGCCAAAGTGAGATTAGCCTTTTTCCTCCAGATGCCTAGTTAAATAATGAGATCACATAGTCTAAGCAGAGTTCATCTGAGCCAGTTTATTTACACCAATTTCCCATTAAAGCAAGATGAGCTAGTGGAGTCCACAAGAGAAATCAGTGTCATACTGAGTACCTCCCCTTTCTAGGGGACAGTAGCTGATACACAAACTTGATCCGACAGACCTGCTCCATCCATCGTGTCCTGGTCGGTAATGGTTAGTTCCATACTGGCCATTATTATGCCTGGCTTACTATTAATTGGAATTAAGTGCGATTATAAGGTAGTAATTCTTGTACGGCTCTCTAAGTGACCATGTACACACACATTTGGAACCTGTTCACAATGTACAAAATTATGCAGCTGTCTTTCCTGAATGCCTAATGCATTCAGGTATCAAAAACACTCTTCCTAAAAGAGTTTTTTATTCTTTTCTTAAAATGTTTCAATCATTCTTCCACACAACTGAGATACTGCTTTCAAGTAAGCACTTCTCTGTTAACAGGGAAAAACCACAATATCCTCAAACAGGAAAGGATATCTCATGTATCTAAAAGCATAAAACGCAAATCAAAGCATAACGTCACAAAACAGGGCCCACTAGCCATTTCTTAACTAAGGTCCCCTGTATCAGCTATTTCAAATTCCTCTTGGTTTTGGATTTGAGGCCAGATTTACAAAGGAACTTTAGTGCTAATCATTAATCACAGTAGTGCCCAAATCTGTGGTCTCTTAAACTTCTGCCAAGAGTCACGCATGAAAGAGTCATGCTGCTCAAAGGTCTGGCAGCATTTTCATACTGTTCCCTGTACTGCTTGTGAAAGCATACTTACCCCATTATATGGGTTTTGTGTAAGGCCCGAGATAAAGCAACTGGAGAACTGGCTGCACGTATGGGTCAGTCCCATCTTAAACAAAAGCCTGCTGGCTGGAGCACTTGGCTAAAAGACAACCTATTTTCAAATCTTCTATCTTACTGAAAACATGGCCACGAACTACAGTTTCTCACAATCGAACAAGACTATCATAACCATCAATCTGAAGTGGTTTCAATTTATAGGAACAACAACAAAAGATTGAAGTGAGCCACAGGTTTGACACTACAGACAGATTATTACTGTCTGGAGATGTAAGAGCTTGGGGATTAAGCATTTATTGAAATCAACAGTTCATTCAAGAAACTATTTTGCTTTTCAACTGGCATATTAAAAATGACCTCTCCAGGTTAAATGTGATGATGAAGGCACGTATCTGAAATACAGGAGTCATGGTCTTAGAAGAGAATTAAGCCAGTAAGCTTAAGAGTTTAAGAGGTTTCCTTCTTTCCATGCCAAATGATAACTGGGTGGCAGGTCACACAGTCAGTACACTGCTATGCATTTCTTCCTATAAAAAAAGGGTGTAACTGGACTAAGTGCCTCATTCTAGGCAAGCTGTCCTCTAGACCATAGAGGAACACCATCGTCAGGGCTCCTCATAATTTTCTACTTTGCCTGGGCAACTCAGCACTGAGGTTGCTGAATCTTTCTGTTCCTATCAAGCCCAAATAACCCCTTTCTTCAGATGCACACATGTGATTGGCACTGGGGAAAATCAGATCTAGTTACTAATTATACATACATACCTATTATATATACACACATATATATGGAATACTGTCCTGGTTTTGGCTGGGATAGAGTTAATTTTCTTTCTAGTAGCTGGTATAGTGTTATGTCTTGGATTCAGTATGAGAAGAAAGTTGATAACACTCTGATGTTTTCAGTTGTTGCCAAGTAGTGTTTAGACTAAGTCAAGGACTTTTCAGCTTCTCAGGCCCAGCCAGCAGGAAGGCTGGAGGGGCACAAGAAGCTGGGAGGGGACACCGCCAGGACAGCTGACCCAAACTGGCCAAAGGGGTATTCCATACCATGTGATTTCATACCCAGTATATAAACTGGGGGGAGTTGGCCTGGGGGGATCACTGCTTGGGAACTGACTGGGCATCGGTCAGCAAGTGGTGAGCAATTGCATCGCGCATCACTTGTTTTGTATATTCCAATCCTTTTATAATTATTATTGTCATTTTATTATTGTTATCATTATTAGTTTCTTCCTTTCTCTTCTATTAAACTGTTCTTATCTCAACCCATGAGTTTTACCTTTTTCTTTCCAATTCTCTCCCTCGTCCCACTGGGTGGGGAGAGTGAAAGAGCAGCTGCGTGGTGCTTAGTTGCTGGCTGGGGTTGAAACCATGACAAATACATAAATTATGTAACTAACACGTTATACACTGCAATTCCCTAATCTGTTTGATACGGTCTCAGCCTTCTAGGCAAGTGGTACAAAGCCTGAGATGAACCGTTGGGGAAAAACCCAACCACCTAGTTGTATGACAGAAAAACACTCCCCTCTTCTCCCAGTATTTTGCAACTTGGCAAACTTTTCCCAACCACACCAGTTCAGATATTTAAGTGGCCGAATTACCATGCTTTTGCTCTTATGTGATCTTTTTTTTATAATGCTGCAGACTGTTTTGTTTTTCTAGACTATCCAAAATCTCCCGAATATTTGTTCTTGTGTTGTAAGAGTGAACTTTTATCACGCTAACAGGAAATGTTTTTGTACAATTTAGATGTACTTTTTCAACAAATATGCAGGTAAACTTTTTCCTCTTAAGGAACTTATTCCCGGTACCCCTGTGAAACATCTTTCTTCTAAAAAAAACCCCAAAACCCAGAACAAAACAAACCCATGAGAGGCTTTGGCAAATTACCTCATGTTTTCATATCCTCCTGGCTAAACAGGTTTCCCCACTATGACTGGCATTATTTCACACTTCAGCGTGAGGCCCATGCTTAAGTTAGCACAGTCACTGA